CATGTGTTTTAGTTATTTATATCCGAGAAAGGAATGTAACTTGATTTTAGTTAAAGATACTCCGTATATTCTTTTGCAGTTTTTAATGATATCCATGTATGTTTTATAGTGTTACTCCACACACGTTTTCATTTGTTGCTTTAGTTGAAACATTTATACTGAGCAAATTCATTTTTGATCATATAGTTATTAGCAAAGATTACTCATGCTTACATGCTTCATAGGCTCAAGAGAAAGAACTGAAGAAACTGAAGGCTGCACAAAAGGCAGAAGCTGCTAAGCTTCAGGTATGTCCTCTTTTAGCTGTCACAGTCTATTCTGGCTCTCATGTGTAGACCACTTGATTGTTTAAAAGATTGATATTTGCATAATTTAAGAATACTGTTCTTTGCCCATTGTACTTAGGCACAACAAACCTCTGGCGCAAACAAAGCTCCGAAGAAAAAGAATGCTAAAAGAGACACTGGGGAAGAAAACCCTGAAGATTTTCTTGATCCTCATACCCCATTCGGACAAAAGAAACAACTTTCCCGTTTGATGGCAAAGGCGTTCAATCCTAGTGCTGTGGAGAAAGCGTGAGTTTTGTGTGCTTTATTTCACTTTCGACCTATGCTGATTGTGGTTTTTAATGTCGGCTCAGGTGGTACTCATGGTGGGAAAAGTCTAATTTTTTTGTGGCGGATCCAAAGAGTTCCAAACCTCCTTTTGTGATTGTGAGTATGTCTTTGGGGCATTAGACTACATAACATGCCTGTCTTGTGATCATGCCAAGACTGTTAGTTTTCCTTTCCCTAAATGCAGCTTCTACCACCACCTAATGTGACTGGAGAACTGCACATTGGCCATGCCCTGACTGCTGCCCTTCAGGTCCTATATACAAGCTTTCCTGGGTATATCATCTAGTTTGCCTTAAGTTCAATTAGTCATTATTTTACTTTGCTTACAGGATGTACTTGTTCGATGGCGAAGAATGTCAGGGTTTAATGTTTTGTGGGTTCCTGGAACCGACCATGCAGGCATTGCAACACAGGTTGGAATGTTGTGTGATCACTTGAACTTAATGTTGTTCAGAAATATACAAATAATCGGGCCACGCTCCATGAGGGAGCCTTCAACTTAAATGGCCTTGGGTCTGTGCTCATGATAACTTTTTCCAATGAAATGGTTCTTTAACTTGTTGGCCCTAAAATGTGTGGATTGTTATCTGATGTTCACGTGATTCCTCTGTGCATAGAAGAACACGTACCATTTCAATTTGTAATGCCTATGCCGTTAATCTCGTTGGCCTCCCAAGAATGCCCCTCTTGCATGCCCAGCATCACCACCTTTGCCATGCGAGTTCATCTCTTTATAATTTGGGGGAAAAAGCACCATCGTTCATGGTTGCAACCATATTATCACTACAAACCCAAGTTCTATTTGGGCAATGCTGCCTACATGCATTTGGAGAGAGATCAGTGCTTCCATCAAACCCCTGACTCTGCCGAAGCACCGCTCCAACACTGCTTGCTGCTCACAGCCTGCTGGCTAATTGGTGGATCCCACACAGTACTAAAAGAGAATTTGTGGGTTATTGTATTTTTATTCAAAGAAATAGGAGGGTAGTGAGTGAAGTTTCCTACTATAATATTGGTGTCTGGATTGATTTAGAGTAAGAAGCCTGATAGTTGAACATCGTGGCATCTAGACGGAATTTCCTAGCCATTTTCTGATCAGTCTTCTAATAGGTACGTTACAATTTTGGTTATAGGTGAAAGTGGAAGAGAAGATTATGCACGAAAAGCAATTAAAAAGGCGTGATATTGGTCGTGAAGAATTTCTATCTGAAGTAAGTTTGCACTTGTTTCTCATTTCAGGGTTGATGGGTAGATTTGTATACTTTTGATATGAAATTGTTCAATGTGTGCTTTTTGCCATTGCTCTCTTGCTTCAAAATTGATTCTTTTCATAGCGATATGATTACAGGACAGAGAAATTTTAAGTTGGTTAACCTTTGTGTATTGAAATAATTTGTTAATGTCTCCGTAATAGGCATGGAAGTGGAAGGAGAAATGTGGAGGAACCATTTTGAAACAACTACGTCAGCTGGGTGCATCCCTGGACTGGTCCCGTGAGGTGAGGTTTAATCTTGACTTCTTGACCCTAGACTTGAGTAACACATTTGTAAATCATGTTAACCTTGTTATTTTTGTTAACTACTTGAATTTGGAGAACAGTGTTTTACTATGGATGAGAAAAGGTCCAGAGCTGTTTCTGAGGCTTTTGTTAGGCTTTACCATGAAGGCCTTATATATAGGTAAGCAATTATAGGTCACATGTTTGGTAATATTGCCCACATAGGGATCTTCGGCTCGTGAATTGGTATCTTGTCCTAGTTGTCCCTTACCATGAAACTTTGTCTCCATCCTAGGGATCTTCGGCTCGTGAATTGGGATTGTATCTTGCAGACAGCGATATCTGATATTGAGGTGAGCCATGGAAATTTCATGTACAGCTCCTATGCTAGGAGTGTATCTTATACCTTTTGGAAATGCTTGATTTTTCTAGGTGGTAAAAATTGCAATTGAGAAGAGAAAACCATTAAAGGTTCCTGGATATGAAAATCCTGTTGAGTTTGGAGTTTTGACATCATTTGCTTATCCTTTGGAAGGGGAATTAGGGGAGATTGTTGTGGCCACTACCAGAGTGGAAACTGTGTTGGGAGATACAGCTGTTGCTATACATCCTGATGATCCAAGATACCGGCATATCCATGGGAAATTTGTAATTCATCCGTTTGATGGAAGAAGACTTCCAATTGTTTGCGATTCGAGTGTTCATATGGATTTTGGGACTGGTGCCGAGAAGGTATAAAATTTACTTTTTCCTGTCAATCTTTATCCCCACCTCCAGTGATGTTAATGCTAATTGAAACTACATGCTTCATCTGCAGATTACTCCAGCGCATGATCCTAGCGATTTTGAGGTTGGCAAGCGTCACAACCTTGAGTTCATCAACATTTTTACTGATGATGGAAAAATAAATAGCAATGGGGGTCCCGAGTTTGAAGGAATGCCACGTTTCAAGGCCCGTGTGGCTATCACTGAAGCTTTACAGAAAAAGGTGCGTTGACTTATCTTGATACACACTCATAAAGTCCGACATTTAAAAGGTTTTAATATTTATGAATCTTCTAGTTAGTTAATTGACTTTTTAGGCTTCTGTATTTGATTCCCTTGATGGTATATTATTGTGTGTGGTTGAAGATGAGTTCCATTCTGGAGTTCAACCTATGCTATATGTACATCTTATGGAAGGATTATTGGTTTAGAAACTCTCTGCTAATTTGAGACTACTTTCTGGGAGAACTTAACTGGCTTAACTTTTGCATGATATGAGTACAATTTTTATGGATGGAAATGTCTTCTGTTTTGCAGAAACCTGAAGTGCTGTTTTGTGCTTTTATGTATTTCAGGGTCTCTACAGAGGTGACGAGGATAATGATATGGTTCTTGGCATATGTTCACGAAGCAATGATGTTATGGAACCTTTGATAAAGCCCCAATGGTACGTGAACTGCANTACATCTTATGGAAGGATTATTGGTTTAGAAACTCTCTGCTAATTTGAGACTACTTTCTGGGAGAACTTAACTGGCTTAACTTTTGCATGATATGAGTACAATTTTTATGGATGGAAATGTCTTCTGTTTTGCAGAAACCTGAAGTGCTGTTTTGTGCTTTTATGTATTTCAGGGTCTCTACAGAGGTGACGAGGATAATGATATGGTTCTTGGCATATGTTCACGAAGCAATGATGTTATGGAACCTTTGATAAAGCCCCAATGGTACGTGAACTGCAAAGGTATGGCCAAGGAAGCACTTGATGCTGTTACAGATGAAGACAACAAGAAATTATATATCTTTCCAAAACAGTATACAGCTGAATGGAAGAGGTATGTATTCAACGCATTTGATTTTTGGATTTGAAGTTTTTCTTCAAAGACTTAACGCGTATTCAGTAGGCATAATTTTTGCATCATATTTGGCGTTGTATGTACCCAGATTCATATTTGGTGGGCGGAATAAAGTATCATGGCTTTCAGAATTAAAGTCATTACCACATGTGTGCTTTTTCTTATTAATGTGAATGTCTGACTGGTCATCTTTGCTATATACATGTCTAAGTGAAAATGCATGTTATCCTTGGGAAACATGACTTGGTTTTAAGATTACAATTTTTTTTATCATATACTGTATCGTCCACGTGTTCATGTTTCTCTTTTCTGCTATCTCTTTGAATTATCATCTTTTTCCCTCATGTTAATAATGGATGGCATTTGATGCTCCAGATGGCTTGGTAATATACGTGATTGGTGCATCTCAAGGCAGCTTTGGTGGGGTCACAGGATTCCTGCTTGGTATCTGACACTAGATGATGATGAACTAAAGGACTTTGGTGCATACAACAATCACTGGGTCATTGCTAGAACTGAGCAGGAAGCTCAACAAGAGGCGAGAAAGGTCTTTGATGGGAAAAACTTTCAACTTACTCAGGATCCCGATGTTCTGGACACATGGTTTTCTTCTGGACTTTTTCCATTATCTGGGGATGGCCTGACAATACTGATGACTTGAATGCATTTTATCCCACTTCTCTCCTTGAAACTGGGCATGATATTCTCTTTTTTTGGGTAGCTCGTATGGTAATGTTGGGAATTAAGCTAGGAGGTGACATACCATTTGGAAAGGTGAAGTAGTCACAGTCTACTAAATACATAATTAGTTTTCTTATTATCATTATTTAGTTTATGGACGCCCCTGGTTTTTGCAGGTTTATTTGCATCCATTGATTCGTGATGCCCATGGTCGCAAGATATCCAAGTCCCTGGGGAATGCGATTGATCCTCTTGATGTCATCAATGGAATTACTCTTGAAGGGCTTCACAAAAAACTAGAGAAAAGACTAGAGGAGGGTCACTTGGACCCGAATGGATTAAAGGTTGCAAAAGAGGAACAGACAAAGGACTTCCCTAATGGTATTCCTGAATGTGGTGCTGATGCTCTTCGTTTCGCTCTTGTTTCATATACAGCTCAGGTTCATTGGCTCTTCCCATCTTTTTCATTGGCTCTTTCTTTTGGCAATCTTTAACTTTGAAATTTTGCTCTTTACAGTCTGATAAAATATATCTGGATATTCTAAGGGTGGTTGGATATCGTCAATGGTGTAACAAGTTGTGGAATGCTATAAGATTTGCCATGAGAAAACTTGGAGATGATTACACTCCTCCATCTGATATAGTCCCGAATGTCATGCCATTTAGCTGTCAGTGGATACTATCGGTTTTGAACAAAGCTATTTCAAAAACTGTGTCGTCTTTAGAGGCGTATGAATTCTCTGATGCAACAACTGCAGTTCATCATTGGTGGCAATATCAACTGTGTGATGTATTCATTGAAGTTATTAAACCGTACTTTGCTAGTAGTAATCCAGAATTTGCCTCTGCAAAAAGATATGCCCAAGATACCATGTGGATTTGTTTGGATAATGGACTTCGCCTACTTCACCCTTTTATGCCATTTGTAACAGAAGAATTATGGCAGCGACTCCCTTCAAGAAATGGTTGTAAGAAGGAATCCATCATGATATCAGATTATCCATCATCTGCAGAGGTGTGATCCATTACATTTTCTTATGGACTGTCTACATTTGAATATAGGCATATTAGTGTCAAATCATGTCACCCTGCATTTAGCTTAATAATAATAATAATTCCATGTATTTTTCATCTTTTTATGTGGAGAAAAACATTGCTATATTAGTTATTGTGTGAATCAAGTATACCCAACTAAAATGCTGTGGTGCATGTCTGCCTGATGGGTTATAGGTTTACCAATTGGGCAGGCAAAAACCATTGTATTAACAAATCCTATTCAGTTTATGATTGTTGTCCTACCCCTAGTTGATTTAGAACTACCTAGGTCTAGTTCATTTACAATTGTTTGTCTTAGTTTTATTTAGTTTAGTATTACTAGTCTAAAATGGAAACCCATTAGCATATCGAAGTAAAGATATTATTTGAAAGGAAAAATCATGGTCTACATATGAAATGAGATGTTGGTTATCCTAGAAGCAGTTAAATTTTGGAGAGTGTACCTGATAGGAGGAAATTCAAATATTTCAAACCAAAAAAGTCTTAAGTGTTTGCTAGAACAGAGGATTACTTCCCCCAAGTAGCAAAATGGATCTCAAAACTTTTGGACCTCAAATATGAAATCTTTTATAGAACTTGATCTAGCAATAAGGGTTCTGATGCTTTGGCCTGACAAAAACAAGTTGAAGGGAATAATTTCAGCATTCAGAGCGATGAGCTTTTAGAAATTACATTGTCAACATGGACTATACAGCAAGAAGTTACTCAAGTGAAGCGACAGAAAACGATATTGAACTACAAAAATTAAAGGAACAAATGAGCAGCAACCCTAAGAGTCATGAAAATCTTTGGTTGAGGGGTGGATGCATTGTTAAAGAAGAGTCTTAGTAGCAGCCAATAAAGAGCTAAGATGATACTTCAAGAGTTGCACTGCTTTCACAGTTCACCAAGTGCAGGCCATTCAGGAGTTCTAAGAACAACCAAGAGGATAGAATGGCTATTTACTTGGACTAGAATGAGGAAGTTCAGCAAGTGCAGAAATGTGGCTCTCGTCATCGGAACAAAGCATATTCAAGATAACCATTAGGATTGCTGCTTCCCTTGGTTGTTTCTGAGAAAATTTGAACAACTATGGATTTCCTTCAAGGACTTCCGAAATCAAAAGGGAAAGACACTCTCCTTGTAGTCACTGGCAAGTTAAGCAAATATAGTCATTTCCTTAGTTTATCGCATTCTTTTACTGCTAAGGATGTGGTAGTAGTTTTTGCTCAAGAGGTTATCAAGCTACATGGGGTTTCTGATTGAGATAAAGTGTTTATGGGCCGTTTTTTGGGAAAAACAATCTTCAAGCTTCAGGGTACTGAACTTTAAACCAGTTCTGCATATCATCCCAAAACAAATGGCCAAACTGTAGTTAACATTAGGTATTGAGCAGCACTTAATATGTTTTGCTTTCTCTAGAACAAAACAATGGGAGCCTTTTCTAATGAAGGCTGAGTACTAGTATAATGCAATGCACTATCAGCTTATTTAGGAGAATTTGAATTACAGCCTTCCCACAGGTGAAAGCACAAGTTCAGTGGGTCAGTTTGCCCCTGGAACACGCGACTTGGGAGCCAGTCAGCAGAAGAATTATCCAGATTTGAGCCTTGAGGACAAGGATTTTCTCAAGGGGGGGGGGTGATGATGGGTTATCACTTCACCAAAGACGTATGCTCAAACCATTGTATTAAGAAATCATATTTGGTTTATTATTGTTGTCCTACCCCTAGTTAATTTAGAATTACTTAGCTCTAGCATGTTTATTATTGTGTCTTAGTTATATTTAGCCTAGAATTACCAGTCCGAGTTGGTTTAGGAATATCATAGAGTAGCTTGAGCCTATAAATAAGGTGTGTATTTGGTAGTATCCCTCGGTGATACTATTTGGTAGTATCCCTCAAAATGGTTCTGTGTCTCTCTTGGCCACTCTCTCTCTCCATGTACATAATTCATATCGTCATACTGTTTGTCAGGTTCCTCAACAACCATCTTCTCATTTTTAATTTAGTCCTGCATGCCACACACTATGTTAGCCTTCTCATCTCGGTCACCGAGTATTTTTTCTCTACTACACAGCCCTTTGACCCATACAAAAATGTTGGTCCGGTGATAATCTGGTCATACTTTGCTTAGTTCAAGCAGTGGTTTTTGTCTAAACAAGTACACTTTACACATCCCACCGTCATCCTTTGTTCAACTTAACCATGAATTTCTCTAATTTTCTGGACTATGGAGCCATAATATTGAGTGTGACCACTTTAAAAAAGTTAGTGATTTTACCCCATGCTTGACATCCATGCTATCAATGCTTAACTCACATACTTTCCCTATATTACTTATTGAATCCCAAAACCATCCTTCTAGTAAGATGTACAGTACTACAGTTTACTGTGTTTTTAATGATATTGCTAAAATTAGAACAATATTTGGTGAAAACATTTATGTATATTTTTGAATCCCAATACTATAAACACATGTTATATATAGGATCCCGTAAACTAGAAAACTGAATAATGTACAATCATTGCCATATTAATACTCCCTCCGTCCTAGAATTATTCTCCTAGTTTGACTTTTTCAATCAAACTGTGACATTCTTTGACCATAAATCGTGTAAAAAATATATATACTTATACTGTAAATTTAATATGATTGGGTTCATTTCAAGATGTAGTTTTGACTTATTAGAGATTTTATAGCATTTATTTATTAAAAGTTATATTTAATTTGTGGTCAAAGCCTGTAATGGTTTGACCAAAAGTCAAACTGGGACAATAATATTGGGACAGAGGAAGTAATATTTATGTATATAGTGAACTTTGCACTAAATAGCACTAAAACATATGTCTTTTCTCAATGTAGTGCTTAAACTTTTTTATTTTCTAAATAGTACTTGAATAATGTCTAGTGACGCGAACAATGTCCATTGATGGTGGACATTTAGTTTGAACAATGTACAATGGCGGTGGACCTTTACTTGAACAATGTTCAGTGGACATTGAACAATGGTACTACATTGGGAAATAAAAACATATGATACTACATTGGGAAAGTCACTATGTTTTAGTACTATTTAGGTAAATTTCCCATATATATATATATATATATATATATATATCAAAATAATAATAATTTGTTAGTTTCCTTAATAATATATTTCCTTTAACATCCCTCAAGTTGGAGCATGAAGATTGTAGATCGCAATGCCAAACTTGTGTATTAGATAATCATACGATTGTTGTCAAAGTGTCATTTGGACACTTCAACAAACAATTTTTTTATGGAGATTGGAGACACAGACACCAATCTTTTTGAATTCGACGGATAATCAATTGAGCAAAAGAATGCCATCCTTTTCCAACATCCTGAATGCCAAATTTTCAACCAAATTAGGCATCGTCTGCCTATATGGTTTTTCTCTCATGATGGGTGGCTGCGATTCCTCATATGTCATTCTTTGTCGAAGCAGTTGATGCAATTTCTCAATGAGGGAGAGCTTGCGATCAGAATAACCGAAAGAAAAAAATGGAGTAACCTAGTTAAATAGAAAAATATTTGGGGAAATTACTTCTGTATATTTCTGAATCCCAATATTATAAGCAAACTAGGCCAATATATATAGGATCCCACAAACCAAAAAGTCTCTTTGTAAACAAATTATACAAGAAAACTGAATAATATACTCTCACTACCATATTGACAATATATATCAAAATAATACAAGTAATAAATTGTTTGTTTTTAATATGGTCTATCTTGCTTATGATGTTAAGCTGCTAATCTCGCAAATAAAAAAACCTGAGCCTCTGCAGGATTGGACCAATGACGATGTAGAATGTGAGATGAACTTGGTCGAATCTGTTGTGAAAGAATTGCGTTCACTGAGATCTTTGATCCCTAATAAGGAAAGACTTGAGAGGTAATTTCCCCTAGCATGTCTATTGTGTTACATTTTTATCACCATTTTCCCTTGTCATTGTTAAGAACTACTGGTATGATCATGTTCTTCTTGCAATTGTGGTAAACGCATAGCTGCTTAACTTCTCTAAATGTCTTGCAAATTGAGCTTACCTTGCAATTTGTAGAAGCTTGATTGCTATACTACCTGCTATGTAAATAATAAACCTCTGTCTACAGGCGAGTAGCTTTTGTGCGTGGTCGAGTGAATGATGATGCGGAGATTATCATAAAGCACGAGCTTGAGATTAAAACACTTGGCAATCTGTCATCTTTGGAGGTTTGTCCATTAATGTCTTAGTGTTCATTGATTTAATATTTTGTGTTTTCATTTTTCAACCATTCTTGTCTTGTTGATCTTTTGGCCGAGAACCATTTGGGATGCAAATAAGACTTTTGTAGTTTATAATGCTATAAGATTTTGTGTATTCATCCATTCTTCTATTGTCAGTTTTTAGTAGAGGACCAACATGGTAGTTCACCATGTGTATATATGCGCTCCTGCATAGAGGCTTATAGTATGGACCAATGACTTGTTTCCTTTATAAAAGAGATACATGAAACACCGGATGGATTCTCGAAGCCTCTGGTAGTTGCAACTCATGGGCTACTTTCCAATTCTCTTTAAGAGTGGTCCTAAATACTTACTAGCCACTTTTTTATTTGCCTTTTGAGCTACTTAATGGTGCCTGTAGGGACACATCCTATTTTGAGCAAGAAGTGTTCTTTTAGTTCTAGTGAAGCTGAACCATCGGCTTTCAAAGTTGCTTCAACCTTTTGCACGTGAAAAGTGCAAACTTCTCTCACTGTACTAAATTAAAGCTGGTAGCGGTCTTATGTAGAAACTTGAAAGGGCGTGGTTCTACGCTGACCTTACCCATGCTTTCAGAAACTCTTTATCTATATAAAAAGTTATTGACTTTGAAATCCTGTGTACTTTGGTAACCTCTCAAGTATAAACTACGACCACATCCTTAGCAGTAAAGGGATAATTGAAAATAAAGAAAAGCCCTTCCCTTTTAATCTAAGTTCTTCAGTGAAGTCTATTCAAATTAACCAAATTGTCCATGTTCCATCTTTTTTTTGACCAAGAGAACTGGAGAGGAAAAAGAACATGCACTCGCTCTAATATACTATGTTTTGAACATTTCTTCAATTTTTTTTGATCTCGTTCTTCTTAAATTGAGCATATATATTCGTTGACAGTTTTGCCTTCTTTCAAATGATTTTGAGGATCATAAATTCTAGCCGGTGGTAGCTCATTTGGTTCCTCAAGAATGCCTTTTAATTCCCCTCATCCTGTTCCTCATCCTTCTCTTCATTTTTTAAACAAAATGGGTTTGCACCTTGGTTCCATTTTAAAAGCAGGCTTTGTAACTCTTCTTTCTCAGTGTGTTTCTGGTTCAGTCCTTGTAGACACTGGTGCTTGCTTGCTTTTAGTTGCACAGTCTGCTCGTTCCTCATCATAGTTGAAGTGGAGTCCTTTTTCCTTCGTTGTTGCATTTTAAAATTTCAGTCCAAGTCAACCTTCTACTCGAGATACCAGATATGATTTCAGGGAACCTTGTTCATTGATTCTCTTATGGTTCAGGCGAATAAACTTCATATGTACTTATATGTCATGCAATTCACTCTAAAATTCATCTGGTATAAGGTATAATGTTGGTGTTTTTTTAATATTTTTTACTGTCCTAATCACTGCTGCGGTCCAAGCTATTTTTGCAAATATAGGTGAATATAATAAGTACTAGTATCATTTTTTAGAATTTCATTTATAGAACAAAAGAAGCAAGAGGTGCAATACCACAATGAGCAAGTGTACGTATTAATAATTATTAAAAAACAGTTTTGTCAATCAGAACTTGTTTTCTTAAACCTTCCCTAGGAGCATATTCTTACTTTTAATTTGGAGAATAGTTTTTTATTCAATCTCCGCGCTGGGAACATGCTTTCGTCATGCTCACCTGGAGATGAAATTACCAGGTCCTAAAGGAGAAAGATGCTGTTCCAGCAGGATGTGTGGTAGGTGTTGTGAACGAAGCTCTTTCTGTTTTCCTCAAGACACAAGGGGCGATTGATGTGGATGCTGAACGCGAAAAGCTAAAGAAAAGGATGGACGATATCAAGAAGTAAGTGAGATTATACCTCTGAATCAGTCATTTGAACAGTTGGGGATTTTTGCCTATCAATTTATAAAAGTACCCGGCATCAATTTTACGGGAGTATTTATTTGTTTGCTTGTTTTTAAATGAAAAATAATTCTTTTTAATTTCCTATTTCTTTTAGGCTGCATGATAACTTATCACGGACGATGAGTGCATCTGGATACAAGGAGAAAGTAAAATCTAATGTGCACGAGGAAAATGTTGTGAGGCTCGCTTCTTGCTTGCAAGAACTATCCTCATTAGAGGAAGCAAGCCAGCACCTTGAGCGCGAAAGTGCCAAGGAATCAAATGGATGTGCTTCGCCTGGAGAATAAACGGTCGAATGTGGTAAAGTAACGGTTTTTTGGTAGTCGTAATTCAGATTTCAAATTTACCCTCTTTTACTAGGGTGATGAGCAGAAATTTTGCATCCCTTTTTTCGTTCATTCGTGCTTCAATAGTTTCTTCTGCTCAGGATGCTTTCTTTTTGGCTGCTACAGAATTTGCTAGTGCCTAAAACATACATATATTCTACCTGTATAGTGTAGGTAGGAGTCATCCACTTCATTTGCTGTCTTCTTAGCTCTTATATTGCATTTTCTTAGCTCAACTGTCCTTCATCAAAACCAACATAATATAATGTTTTAAAATTTGAGAAGCATGATGAGCCAACCGTTGGATTCATGTGAAAATTTACGGGAGATCTTATGGGCACTAATTTGTAATCTTACCACCTGTTTCAAGTAACTGAATATTTATTTTCAAGAAATTGTATATTCATTTTTTTAAAATTCAATTATGCTTGAAAATGAGTATTTTGTTTCTCAAAATTAAGTATTCATGTAGATATATCCTATATCCAGATGTATGGTACAAGTACTCTAAAAATTGTGGTTAAAATTTATGTTGTAAAATAAGTACTCCATACCATTAGTTGCATATTTTCCTAGAAAATAAGTGAAATGTTAAATCTATCATGTGTACATAAACATCATTGCAAAACAGATTTAATTTTTTTAAAGAAAAATATTGAAAAATAAAAATTGTGGTTAAAATTTAGGTTGAAAAAATATTATTAGCTGCATATTTCTCTCCTAGAAAATGAAAGAAATGTTAAATTTATCATGCTACACAAACATCGTTGAAAAACGAATTTATTTTTTTTTAAAAATGTTTCAAATTTAAATCACAACAATTTCAAACAAGTGCGTTTGAAACTACTTGCACAGGCGCTCTTGACACTTATAGATCATTGAAATTGTTCCAGGCGAATTTTCAGCATAAAAAACTCAAAGGTCGTTGAAAAAACATGTGACATTAAACGATGGAAATAATCTATATACTGAAAAAAAAGGAATTAAAAATAATATTGAAAAAAATAAGCTAACTGAATAAATATGGAATAGAAATATTTTAAGTAATGGGATTAAAACAAATAAAATGAGGGTTGAAAATGCGAGTAAATCAAATCACTTCATTTTGATCAGTTCTGGTTCATATTAAACACTCCATAGCATAAAAGTGTTCAAAAGGACCATATTACAATAAGAATTGCAAATTCAAAACAACAGAATGAAGTAAATAAAGAAAAGAAATTGAACGTTATTATGTTCCTTTTGAGGCAATCCTACTCCGCCCGCCAGTCCCTGTGATCTTCACAACGTCTATTATGTTTTTGGGATCTGAAATCTTCACAACATCTCAAAAATCTATTGAAAACCAAAGCTAATATTACGATCATAGCATTTTATATTGGTTCATTCAAATGTTTCCATACTTTTACCCAGAGTTAACTGGGCCATCTTCATGCACAGATGGAATAAACACTCCCTCCGTCCCCAAAAGAACGTCACAACTTTCTTTTTGGGTTTTCTCAGTATAAGTTTCACATTTCTTTACTTTCCTATTAAAGAAACAAAGTCCAACCATATACTTTTCAACTTTTCTTAAGCTCCGCGGAGTCAAAATTTTAACTTTCTAATGGGGACAGAGAGTATATTGGACCGGAGTTTAAGAATTTGAAAATTGTGCGATTAAAGTTTAATTAGGAGGGAGAGAAATAATGGGAAGTTGGGAACTACATACTTCTTTTTATAAGGCTATGTTTGGTTCAAGGATTTTGACAGTGAAAAGAAAGTGATACAGAAAACAATTTTTCTTGTTTGATTAGAGAGGAAAAGAAAAGAACCGTAACAATTTTGGGACGGAAATTAGGATTTTCGATATCTTGAATATTCTTTTGCTCTCCTCAATACTTTCCTTTCTTTCCTAATTCTTCAAACCAAACATAGTGTAAAAGTATGAGTGACAATTTGGAACGGACGAAACGGAAACTGTGAATCTAGTTTAGGGACATGAGTATATTAGGTTTGGTAAACAGATGCCAGAACAAGAAGACTCACATTAATGGGCATTTCTGAGATTACACAGCCACTGCTTTCTTCAATGTTTCTGAGATTTACAGCCTCACCTCCAGCGACCATATTGATCGCAATTCCATCTGTACAGATGCACACAGACATATTAGAATGTGACGATAAATGTTTCTGGATGCAAGGCAATACATAACAAAGGCCTGGAAATAAGGAACGGTTGTGTGATTAACTATGGAATACGAATTGTGGTAAACTAATTTAGATTTAGTGATTTAGTATCTATATATTGGCAGAGATTATGAATAAAGGCCTGTTAGAATATGAACCGCATATTTTTTTACTTAAAATGGAAAAGAAAGATTATTTGGAGACAGCAAAAGGAGAAGAAGATAAAAAAGAGACAAGGATTATAACATTATGAAGACTCTTGCAATGATTTGCCTTCACGAGCCCATATTACACGATTGAAGTATTGAAGTACATATCTAACTAACAACTCCGTATATCCGAGTTATTTGTAAAACCACAACCTATAAACACTAAATGCATAATGCAAATACTACCTCCGTCCCAATATATTTGTCCAGTTTGACTTTTTCAACTCAAACCGGACGAACCCTAAGCTTCAACTACTCTCAATTTGTATTGCATATTAATATAATGAAATAAAGTTCGGAAAGTTTTTAACAAGATAAATCTAATAAAATTATTTTTGTACTAGTATACATTACAAGTTTTGATTAATTGAAAGTTTGAAACTCAAAGTTTGTCCTAGTACAACTGGACAAATACACTGGGACGGAGGTAGATACTAAGATAAAGTACTAAATATTCACATTCAAAATCAATAGACCAAAAGATATGCTCAAACACTCTTCACTTATAAATTAGCAATCATGAAGATTGGACAATAGATTAATCCTCAAAACAAGGTGAACAACACAAAGCCTTGACCTTATTTTAGAAGACGTTTCAAAGTGAAAAATGTGAACAGCCAGAAACGCCATTAAGATTGTGCATACTGCTACATATTTATGTGCCAATAGTGAAGGTATTGTAATCGGTTGAAAGAGAGTTCCCTCTGATGGGTTTATCTAGAAAGCTGTGTAAAGATAAATTTCAGCTTGTGAAATGGAGTATGGAATATAATGCAAACTCTGATGGGGTTAAGTGTGGGGGGTGGGGTGCAATGGTAGTCTTCTCCTTCTTACATGCAGTAATTAGCATAATTTGGCCAGGCGTGATAAGCAGAGTGCACCCAAATCTCAAAATAACTCTTTTTTTCAAATTTTTGGAATGATCATGGATATCACTTAAGATTTTTGAAACAGTTAGTCATACTTTAACAGATAGTTGGAAAAGGATCCTTGAAATGAAACATCAGCTACTTCATTAAGTTTCATTGTCTAATTTAAAATTACTCATTCTTTGAAGGAAATCATTCTGGGTATTAAAATTGTAAGTGTTGAGCCTTTGTGATGGATTGTTTCTGATTAACCTAAGCTGAGTTCTCAAGTCAGTCCTCTAATTTGAAAGTGTGGATGTTCAAAACTTCATGAGTCCTTAGGCCTTAAGAGTTAGGCTAAGGTTTGAAATTGACTAAAAAGGAATATTCTCTGTTTTCTTATTCTCCATTTGCAATTGACTAAAAAAGAAAACAGATTGTTGAAAATGGGATAGTGATCATAGTAGAAGACAAGCAGACCATGTGAACAAGGATAAAATAGAAAATATGGAGCCTTTAATTTACTACTTCCTCCGTCCCACTATATTTGTCCACTTTTATTTTTGCACACCATCCAATACACTTCTTTAATCCATTTTATCTTGTAATTTGTATATTAAAAAATTATAGAAATTATATATTAATAATCTATATGTTGAGACAAATCAAACAAGATCACGCATGACTATATTTAGGCTTACACATTGAGAGAATTTGATGAGTCAAAGTGCTTAGATGAACAGTTCCAAAAGTCAAATGTGGACGAATATAGCGGGACGGAGGGAGTACTACGGAGTACATATTAATAATATTATTCATTCCGATATTAGATATTACGACTGAAAAGTATCATCGTAGTATTTACAGATTAATTAAGGGCCCTGATGGTTTTTTTTAAAAAAAGGACCTATGAGTTCTAAAGAGAAAACTCGTGTCACCCCAATATCCCAAATTAATTTTTTGATAATGTCATTGCTACATGCAAAAACAGCTCAGCACAACACGAACCTGGGAATTAGCTATAAGCCTAATAAAGGAGAAATGAAGAATCAGAGAATGTGGAAATTATATTGAACCTGCTGCTAAACACGTAGCCACGCGCCGCATATAAGTTTCCTGCAAAAGAGTGCGGGTGATCAAATGTGTTCAATAAAGCACAAAGTATATGTTTCTTTTTGTTTTCCAATACACATTAATTTATATTATTAAAAAATAAGAGCAGTGATGGAATGTCACATGGTAGGGTACAAAAAGACCTATAAACACTACCAAATGTTAGAACTGAAGAAAGTACACCGAACAATCTTCAACTGGCCAAAGGAAAAAAGAAAATTCAATGCTATTGGAGCTCACAAACAAGAAAGGGAAGATAGTTTAACATCATATATGTAAAGGAACTATTTCAAATCAGAATGCCTTCTCACCTTTTTTGCTGGTAACTCATAATTAATCAAGGCACGAGCACTAAAAGGCAACTCCCCGGAGTTAACAAGAGGAAGGCAAACATCTGTTACAACTATTACGTGACATTCACCTTCCTCCTTTCTCTCCCCTTCAGCAACCACACTTTGACGATTCCACCTCATCACGGCTTGCCGAAATCTAACAAAAATATGCATTCGTTCTGGTTCGCCAAGGTCACTATACTGCAAAGACTTATCTACATCAAAACTTGTTGGGAATCCATGTGATGGGTTCAATCCCACACCGGACAAATAAAAGAAAATACACTCCCATTTAATGAAAGGTGAAGCACTACCAATTAGCTTAAGCTTTTGGATAGAATGTGGGTCCGGACTTTATACGGGATCAAATCTCACCCAACACTCCGCCCTATTCACTCGGCCCACCGAAATTCCAACATAGTATCGGTTCGGTTCATGTTCGATTCATCTTGGTATTCATTATAAAGAGATTGAGATGCTAGACCCATTCATTCATCCAAGTAGTAACTAGATCAAACTAGTTACCACTTGAGGGGGGTGTTAAGAATCCGTGTGATGGGTTCAATCCCACACCGGACAAATCAAAGAAAATACACTCTCATTTAAAGAAAGGTGAAGCACTACCCATTAGCTTGAGCTTTTGGATAGAAAGTGGATCCGGACTTTATGTGGGTAAGTGGTCAAATCTCACCCAACACTGTGCCCAGTTCACTCGCCCCACCGAAATTCCAACAAAACTATCCATAACATGCCAACGAACTTTAAAACAAGCCTTCATACCCAACTTAACACAGCCAAACCCACACCAATGTGCAACTACAGATTCAAGTTACACCTTTATCTCTTAAGGGTCCATTTGGTAATTATTATTTAGTTGAAATGACTGAATCCACTACACTTCCTCTTTGAAGAAAAGCGTTTGGTTAGATCTGTTTCAGCCTAATGCAAATCAAACATAACTTATTCAATTATTCTGTTGATTGAGCTTATGTACATGGCAAACAGAATCCAATGTAACACACCCTTTATCATTTAAGGGCCCATTGGTAAGTGTTACTTTGTTGGAATGGATGAATCTACTGAATTTGGTAAAATTCCTGAAAGGAAAAGCGTTTGTTCATTTAGCTTAATAGTTATGGCAAACAGAACCCAAAAATCTCCCACATTCAAATTCCAATTTCTGACACTTATCAACAGATTCAATAGAAAGAGATTCTGAAGGATTACCAGTGCAAATATAGAAATGTGTGAAAGGGCAGACAGTGCAGAATAAACAGCATCTAGTTCATCCCGCGCACTGCAACAAACCACCACCGGAAGGCATGGAAGACGGCCAGCCACCCGCAATAGGTCCACCAGCGTCTCCTATTCAACAACAAAAAATAAAATAAAATAAAAAATTGAAGAAAAAAAAACTTGCAAAAAAAGGAGCATTTGTGGAGATTATAGAAAGAGGTATAGAAAAGGGTGGGAGAGAAAGACCATCTTGAATTTGATCCTGTCGACAGCAAGATAGAAATGGCGTTGCTGGCTGCATCGCACAAGGAATTCAAAGATATGATTGAATTTCGTGATAGGGAAAATCAAACAAGAGGAATTCAGATATAATTGAATTTCGTGAATGGGGAAATCAAAATCTTATGAGAAAGAAAGAAAAAAGAATTGATTTTGCAGTGCCTGAGAGTATATTGAGATGGAGAAGTGGACAGAGATGCTTCGGATCCATCCATTTCCCTTGACAAAAATAGGCTTCCCTTTCTGGGAATGGCTCCACGGAAGGCAAAGCTCCAATCGGGTGGTTTCCCTGGGAATATGAAAAAACACCAAAATCAAATCTCCAAAGCCAACACTATTCCCGAGACGAACTTGTATTTGTTTACTCCCTCAACAAAAAAATTATATTCCATCCCACAACTTTCTAATGTCACATAAAGTCGTTATCATTTCTATTCAAAAAACCATGTTTATACCTAGAAAATTTTATCCTACCTATTATATTATACATTTTTACTAATAATTTACTCATCACATCCATCTTCTAAACATTGCATCAAAGGTATTTTTAGAAAATTAATACAAAAATATCTCTCCTTTAATTGTCTTAAAAGTCAAAATGAGAATAATTTTAAGGGAAGGAGGAAGTATTATTCATTAAGGAATATTTAAAAGTCACGACAATTTTTGTTTATTTGTGTATTTTTTTATTCTTTGATAAAATAACTTATCTTGTCACTTTTGTTTTGTAGAATTTTTATGTAATTTTTAAATATGTAAGTTTTATTTATATTTCGATACGAATCTTTAAATAAAATAAATTTAAAAAACTAAAAAATTTACTTTGTTCTGCGTAAATTAATATAGAGAGAGCATCTTTTGCTTTGTCGTCAAACAAACGACAACATAAACGGGTTGGGAGAGAGTTATTTGACTTTAACAATTTGAAAAGGGTGTGTAACACCCTAATCCGTCTAGGTCTGCAGCCCCTTTCAGATTAAAGTATTAACTTGGTAATCGTAAAAATTTAAAACATTTCAAACACTTTTATTTATCACAATAATATTTTTCATAAACAGTACGGAGTTTTCAATATCGCGGAAGCTTAACCAATCATAATCACAAACATAAATTATTTTTGTATTTCAATTCAAAAACATCACATCCAAATCCGACAATCTCGCCTCTGTCTGCCTCCAGGATCACGTCACATCATTCTTTCTATTAACCTGCGTGTAACAAATAAAACAAACTACACGCTCAGCGGTGAAGCTGGGGAAGCATATCTAATTCGTCGAACATCCATATAAACTGAATCTAAATTCATAATCAAATCATTTGATATCATGCACATAATGTTCAGTTCAGATATTCAATAATCATTAGTCAATATTCATCATTCATTATTCAACAGTTTTGTTCACATTCAACGTTCATCATTCTTTCATAATATTCACAATATTCAATTCAATAAGCATTATTCAATATCCATTCATATTCAATATTCAACATTCGACAATATCCTTAAATTGTTCTTAGTCTAAGGCCAATCACTTTAATGTTTATCAACCCTTAAATGAATTCTAGTTTAAATAATTAAACTATATTCCAGTATAAAGTACTTCTAAATAATCCTTAAGTTAGGCCTAGTTTAAGATAAAAGGGTTTTGAAAATCTTAAAGTTACCTTCACTTAAGGCCAACCAAAAATCGACAGTGTAGTGTTCACTGTTGGGTGGGTGGTACCCCCAAACGAGTAGATACTCAAGTTTGGTTCTTGGATCTCGTACGTACGTTTTAACCCTAGCCACCGGGGTTCATACCCGCAAGGTCTAACTTAAATGGGTATATCTTAGAGGTCTTGTAACACCCTAATCCGTCCAGGTCTGCAGCCCCTTCCGGACTAAAGTATTAACTTGGTAATCGTAAAATTTTAAAACTTTTCAAACACACTTAATTAATCCCAATAATTTTTCATAACATATACAGTACGGAGTATTCAACAATATTGCGGAAGCGAATTTAATTTTGACATATCATAAATCATTTCAAACTTGTCACATCCATCCCGACAATCTCGCCCCATCTGCCGCCAGGATCACATTGTGCTTTCTGCTTACCTGCGTGTAGCAAATAAAACACACTACACGCTCAGCGGTAAAGCTGAGTAAGCATATCTAATGCGTCGAACATCCATATAACTTGAATCTAAATTCATAATCAAATCATTTGATATCATGCACA